ATTGTATGTAACGTGTTTCCAGAAAAATCCTGTTTGCCTTTCCTCATTCTGAGTTAAAATTCTTATCTGATATTTTAAAAAAAATGAAATCTGGCCAGGCAATGGTGGTACATGCCTTTAATCCCAGTACTCGGGAAGCAGAGGCAGGCAGATCTCTGAGATGAGGCTACCCTGTTCTACAAGAACTAGTTCCAGGATAGCCAGAGCTAGACAAAGAAGCCCTGTGTCAAAAAAACAAACAAACACAAAACAACAACCAAAAACCAACCAACCAAACTACCTGTAATCATTCTCACTCAAGTCTACTTCATTCCTATACCTGACTGCCTCTAGAAAACTCTTAACATTTTAAGTAGGGAAGAGTCCCCCTGAAAAAGAAGGAACACACACATTAGGAGTTATCTATTTAGATCATAAATACAGACACCCTACCTCTGCAGTGCCACACACTCCCTTGCTACTGAATAAAGACTATACAGAATGAGTTGTCTTATGGTCGGAGCCTACAAAAATATCTCCGATATAATAGACCATTTTTACCTAGGATGTATATAAGGGTCTATCCTAACAGTAAACAAGATAATGAATGCTATTGATAGAATAGATTAAGCAATAGGAGCCTGAGTGTGTCCTAAAATCAGCAATCTTTATTAGAAAACTATCATCATACTTTATTAAAATGTAATTTGACATGAAGTAGCTTAAAAGGACAGTTGGCATAACCTGTGGTTAGGAGTGCGGGCCCTGGATTCAAATCTGAGGTCTGTCACATACTAGCTCTATGGCCATAGACATTCAGGTTACTTTGCTTCTCTGAGCCTGCTTCCTTTCGTATACGGCAAGAATGAACCCTTTCTTGAAGTATGATTGTGAGGCTTAATTAGGATCATGTATTTAAAATACTTAGCCTAGTCCTTAGCACATACTGAGCACTCAATGAGTGTCAACTAGTTCTACTACTATAAAAAGTGTAAAACATTCAGGGGAGTTCATGAAGTATGGCAAAAATTCTCATCTGAAAATAGGCAAGTTTGGGAATCATGTGAGGATGGTTGCTGTGTATAGGAAGGATTCTTTTTAAGGGAGAAAAAGGCATAAGTATTTCTTTAATGGAGACAGACATAGAAATTAAGAAACATACTTGAATTACAAAGGGATGAGTTTCTCAAATATATTGCTGTTCTTATTTCATATGACTTGAGTAGAACCACAATTTCCTAACAGCAGAACAGAGCAGAGGGGCAGATCACCTTGGGGAACTTAGGTAATCTTGCCTAGGAGTAAGGAAGGTAAACTACATGACCTCCTGGATTCTTTTGACATCTGTGATCTATCTGACACAGGTACCAATTAGTAAAAGTAACTATCTGTGTAGATCTTGGTGATCTCACCAAGTAGCTTCAGAAAGAATACATTCTTCAAATACCACATTCAAGTGTCTCCTCATGAGAAATTCAAAAAGGCAATGATAACTAATAGCTTTACTTGAAAATCACATTTTTTTCTATATGGCTAGACAATTAAGGATAAATTTTACAGGTGAGTATAGGATCTATAATATCCCAACACCTGAGAAGAGGAGTTAGGAGAATTAGGAATCAAAGCTATCCTCAACTGCATGGTAAGTTTGAAGCCTGCTTGGGACACAGAAGACTCTAGCTCAAAAACAAAGCACAGCTGGCGCAGGGTACAGTTGTGGTGTCTTTATGGCTCCAATAAGAACTGGAAATCATTGTGGAAAAATAAATGACTAAACTACAAAAAGTTTTTTTCTTTTTCTCTTCATACATCTAGGGCCTATATATTAAAGATAATGGAAAGAGATGAACATGTTCGTACAAAATAGCTTTCCTCTGTGATCCTTGAAGTTGATATGGAAATCGTGAAGAACTGCCCGTGGCTGCAAGGAATCACATACCTACACATACTTCTTGCTTGTATTCCCACCTTTGCAAGACTCCCATCTAGCCACCTGCACCCACTTTTCCCTGGGGCAAATGGAGACCTTTGGAAGCATTGCCAGGTACCGACTAAAATCTGCCATGAATGTACTCAGGAATCTGGGCTCCTGCTTTTGTTTTCAGTGGGTATCTGTGACCCTTTTCATCTCAAAATGCATATGACCTTGAGCCAGGGCAGAAAGGCTCACAGAATCAAATGCCTTAAAAAGCTGACCAGGGACACTAGTTACTTGGTTTATATGTAGTTTAAGATATATAGAACTCTTTATTTTTTCTTCTTTCCTATTTGATTTGTAGTCCTTTTATTGCCTAGACCAATCTACACTGGGAAAAGTAAAGAAAACAGTAAAGAATTTTGGTTACTTGGCAGTATACCTCATAAAAAAGAAAACAATATAAGCAAGGAAAAAACCTGAAAGCTAAAGTTACTTCAGAGCCTGGAGAAAGAGTCCAGTAGTTAAGAGTATATACTGCTTTTGTGGAAGACCCAAGTTCTACTACCGGCATGTGTATCAGGCAACTCCTAACTGCCTATAATTCCTGCTCCAAGAAATCCAATGTCTTCTTCTGGCTTCCATGGGTACTGCTATACAAATGCAGATATACACATAATTAAAAATAAAAGTAAGTATCAGGATAAATTTTAAGGGGCTATCAAGATGGTTCAGTAGTTAAGGGTACTTGTTGCTCTTTCAGAGGATCCAGGTTCTCAAGAGTTACCAATATTGAATGAATCTGACACTCTCTTCTGAATTCCATGGGCCCCAGGCATGCACATAGTGCATATACATAATATATACATACATACAAGTAGGCAAACACTCATGCACACAAAATAAAAACAAAAATTTTAATTTTTATGAAGTTATTTCAAGGTGAAACAAATGCTGCTCTCCAATTCACTACATAAGTAATTTAAATTCTAACACTTTGGACGAAGGAAGAAGAAGAGAACTGTCTGGGCTCCAATACAGTCCTCTTTTGTAACTATTCCACAATTCAAGATGCCCAGGGTGTCAAATAGCTTTTGAAATAAGTCATAGCTCTTAGAGAGTTAATGCTTGGCAACAGCATGCAAGTTTTAAACACGTTCTACCAATGAGCTATGCCACCAGCCGATGGGAAATAGTTCTACCTTTTATAACTATTTATTGTTGATGTCTAGTATGTGATGGTAAAACAGTATCTACTGATAGGTGGCAAAAAGACAAGTAAGTTAATGACTTGTCTCGGGTAACATCAATGTGTCTGTGGGAATTATCCAGGAAGAAGGCTACAGGGCTGGAGAAGTAGCTTAATAGTTGAGCACATGCTTAACATCTTTAAGACTGTGGGTTCTAGCTCAAGCACCAAAGAAATATTTGATCTCATGACTTCTATGCCTAGCATGCTTTCGGAAGTCTTCAATGATATTAGCAGAATCTTACTTTTATCTATAAGGAATAACTACAGAGGTGGCTAGCATTTACCAAGTCTTAACTTATGTTATGTGCTGAGCACCATACTTAGTCCTGTATATGCTCTTTTAATCCTAATAATAACTCTGTGGAACAACTATCTATGTTCATTATCCCTTGAACAAGGATACATGGCTAGGGAAGTAAATAATATATTCAGGGTCACCCAGTTAGTGACAAAGCTGGGATCCAAGCCCAAGTTTATTCCTATTTCTGGGTTTTTAACCCTTAATATTATCCCACTCAATAGATCAAGAAACAAATTATTTATAGCACACTATACCTGGGGGTAGGGATTAACAGATAAACACCCCACATTCAAAACAAAATAGTTCCTAATAGTAAAACTTGTATCACGTTCTGGTATTTTCTTTACAAACAGGTTCAAATGCATTGAATCTAGATTAATTACAGCAATACTGACAGATGTGTACTTCTGCTTCATGTAACATGCGAAAAAAAAGAAGGCACTGAGTTTCTTAATTCTATTTCAGTATCAAGGGCCAATACCATACCTGTCTGACTACAGGAGGCATGTTAAATGGTGCAATCTCTAACACCAAGAAGAGAAAGGGTTTTTACTACTAATGACAAAGAATAAATGAAGCAATAATGTTTACAACAATAATTTTAAGTAAATAGCATTTTCTTGTTGCATCTTAATTTGTTTTAAGGACCATGAAATAAAAACACTGGTGTTCTGTTTCTTAAAAAAAACAACAGTACACTACAGTTATGAAGTAATACAAAACCACCAAAGAAAAATCACATTAAAAAAGATCTTTTCTATTATTACATACAGTTTAGGGCTGGAATGATAAGATATGTTCACAGTTAAGATCTTACTACTACTACAAAAAAAAGATCTTACTACAACAATGGATATAATTTCAATAAAGAGCTCAAGCAAGAGAAACAGCCAAAGAGAAAGCAATCTGTCAATCAATTAAATGTTGTGTGGTAAGTCGTGTGTTGTAAATACCAATGGAGATGATGCTACTTTTCCCAAGGAGAAATATACCATTCTGCCAATCTGGTTACTGGTGGTGAAGATAACTACAGGAACATAACTCTAGCGCAGCTTCGGAAAACTCCTGGAAAATTCACCAAAGTTATCCAAAGTCATAAATGCTGTGTCATACAGCCAAACCACAGAATAGTATTTTGTTAGCAAGTTATCCTTTTCCTGCGGAGGAGGCACTGCCGTCTTAGTTTGTGATGATCCACACTAATCTTATGATGAAAAGGAAAGACATACCAGAATTATGAAAAATACATTTGAATGAAGATTCTAAACATGATACATGCAAATTAAGTGAACTATCTGTTTTGTAAGTGATCACAGCCTTTAAGAAGATTTTCCTTTGAAGGAAAAATATTCCAATAGTACAGATAGCGATCCACTTCTTTTGCTTGAGTTATAAACAAATCAAGCTTTAAATTTTACTGGCTAGAAAATAAAAAGAATCCACAGTTTAAATTTATCTAAAATTTACGAAGTAGTACACTTTAAGGTAAGCAATTTCCTTCTTTGTGAGTTTAAAATATTTTTTATGCTCAAGAGGCAGAAATACCAACTCACCAGCTTTGTGCCCCTTTTAATTTCCTTTTGGACATCTTCAATAGAAAATCCACCAAGACTCTCATTATCGGAATGTGACGACACCAAAGCAGATGAAAAGAGCTATAAATACATTTGGAAACAGTAAGGTTCATATATAATTACATCAAGACAACAAATAAAATATTAAACTTAAAAATGAATTTTCTATTAAAATGACATTGCATAGTATTAAACTATTTCTTAAAAATTTAACAGCTTTTTTGCTTTCATATCCAGTAATACTAATGTGTTAAGATTCTCTCTCAGGAAGGGTTGAAGTCTCTTGATTGATAACATACTCACCATGCATTTATGGTGTGCTGCCACCTTCTGGTTTTCAGATATTAGTAACTGTCCACACTCCTTGTCTCTATTTGACTTACAAAAGCCACATTTGCGCTGTCTTGTAGACCCTTTTTTCTGTTCAACTGAGCTTGACATGATTTTTAAACTGCTTTTAGAATGCCACTTTAAGCCTCAAGAAATGCTACAGAGAATAAGAATGGCAACAAAATGGTTAATCTCATTTAAACATTATACATTTCCATGCAAGTAATTTAATGTCTGACCTAGATTTTAAAAGTTACTTGAACATTAGTATAAATACTAAAGCCCAAGATGCCTTCCATATGTAATACGTATTATGAGAGGGAAATAGAGAATGCAATCAAGTCTACAGTGAGAGAAATCAAAATGAGTTCCAATTAGGAGCCATGTGGATAAAACTACTTTTGTGCGGAGAAGAATGTATAGCAAAGCTACTGCATACAGTGGTGCGTGGCTAGAATCTCAACATTTAGGAATCTCAGGCAAAAGATCATGAGTATGAGGCCTCCCCTCTGGTCCTGAGAAATAATTTATGGTCCAGGCTGGCACTGGACCACGACACACTAGTAATTAATAAAAAAATATTCTTTCAAGTATAGGTAGATGGCCATCAAGGAAACAAAATGATAAAGATCTCTGAACAATTGAAAACTACAAATTAAACTAGAAAATATTGAGAACCGATTTAATTGCTTACTTTCTTCCAGTTCACATAATGATAAAGTATTAGAAGCAAAATTAACCATAACTTTGAAACAACTACTTTTAACACTTGAAATCGAGTTCAAATTTAAGAAAATGTTTATGACTTCAGATCCTTGCTATTCTGTTCCTTTTCCATGTAATAAAATACTAAAGCTTCTAATATTGTACCAAAAATACAGTCGTTAGGACCTTAAAATGGTTTACTAAACCATTTTATTTGGCTGAGATTTATCCTGTCTGTTTATTAAAAGCCAAACCAACAGTAGTCTTCTACATGCAGTAACTTCTACCAGAAGTTAGCAATACTGTGCAGTGGAAGGAAAATGCTTCTGAATGAGTCTTGCAGTTGATCAGATTATAATTATAGGTTGTACAGTCAAACCAAAAAGGGGAAGAAAAACTGTAACACAGAAGTCTACAGATTTGCATCATCGTTCTTAACACAGATCATTCAATGCCACCACTCAACAAATTTCAAATCAGTGTTTTGATCTGTATAATTCACCCAATTAATGGGAGTAAGCCGCTTAGGCCCAGGTTGCCATAACATACATCACAATCAATAGAATCTCAAACTTCTGTCTTCAAAATAACTTATTAAATTGCCACTTATATAGATTTGAACATTTCATGACATTGCGTTCGGAGACTTGGCTCACTAACAACTCAGTCGTTAATGCTGAGAAGCATCTGTTCACCACCACCACCAGGGCAAGCAGCAGCAAGGTGATGCAGTATCTACAACCACTCCGCTCTGCTCAACATGGATCATCTCGATGTAATGTAATGGGAAGCCACAAAGAAAACATTTCTTCTCATTAATTTACATCCAATATTCTCTTTTGAACAAGACTTCAAAGGTCTTGCAGTCTCTGCTTTGATGGTCTAACAAACTGTTAATGCTATCTCTAATTTAAATGCCTCAGTCTCCCAAGTGCCACAGGGTACTTCTCAATAGTACTGATTTCAGAACACTGAGAAACAGACTGGAATAGGTAGCTAAATCTTTTAGCATTAAAAAAAGGACCACACGCCTTTAATCCCAGCACTCGGGAGGCAGAGGCAGGCGGATCTCTGTGAGTTCAAGACCAGCCTGGTCTACAAGAGCTAGTTCCAGGACAGGCTCCAAAAACCACAGAGAAACCCTGTCTCAAAAAACCAAAAAAAAAAAAAAAAAAAAAAAAAAAAGGACAACAGAGAAACAAAAGAAACAAAAGGGGAAGTGTGTTTGCATTTGCTCAGGCAAGTATGTGTCCAGTTGCTTTATGAAAAATATAGCTGCTCCAGTTTTTACAGCTATGCAAAAACATCCAAGATTCATAAATAGCACCCAGATATACTCCTGGAGTTCTAAATGAGTTTCTTCTACTACCGTGCACTGTGAAGTCACCATGATGTATTCAGCATTTCTCCAGGTCATCCAGGCCAGCTGAAAGGATGGTACATTATAAATAAATCTAATTTTCATAGACATCTTTAATGTGCCGTCCCTATACAATCCTAGCACTGGCTTTTAAAAAAACTGACTTAAGCAAAATTCCTAGAGGGAAAAATCACTCTTTATTCCCAAAATTGATTCTGAAATCGTACCCCCATTCTATTCTTATTAAATATTGCCTCGTTTCACTAATAAACAGGTACATTGTTCATCTTCATTTTCAGAACCTGCTTTTCTAGATATTAATGATTCCAAAATCTAAAGGAGAACATATGCTTAATTTTGCATTTTAAAATATTCATTTATTTCCTGGTAATTAGTTTATATTTTATTTGTAAAGTGAGCAGAAACACATAAATGTGCAACAAACGATTAAATTTTTGCCCTGCTATGCAATGACTAATTGGATTTTTCCACTAAAATTCAAATAATGCATGTATGCATAGCTTGCCGATTTTCACATCTGCCTTCTTAAAACACGCAGCAGCAGAGACCATCATGGAAACAATGACGCCCAGCAAACTGTCTATCATAAAAATACAGATTTTTATCTACTGCTGTCACATTTGTGGTCTCGGGGTAAGCAGAATACAGCCATTCAAAAGCATCACTACTATAGGGTTCATAATCATCCGCATCTATTTAGCGCTTTCGTTTTAATTTAAATATTTTCAAGAGCAGGCACAGCTCAAAGTTCAATACTTTCCCCTGACAATGAGATCTTTCCCTTTGAAGAAAGATAATGTCTAAAGCAGAAAGAGACAACATCTTTATGGGATACGTTGTTTAAACGCATGAAAAACACACGCAGCTGAAACAATGAATGCATTTCTGCTGTTTTTTCAAGATGCTGTGAAGCACCAACGTAGAAAATCACCTGGACAACCAAGGAGGGCATTCGAGAACCAGCTCGAGAGCTCGTTCAATGGCTGGTATCTGAAAAGAACGTTTTCCACAGAGAAACAAACAAAACAAAAACTGCAGTTCCGGAAGATGAAATCCCTTCCGCATGCAAGCCAGTTGAAATGTACAGACAGAAGCATGATCCTCCAAAGATAACACAGCTTTTCTATAAGGAAAGTTCCAGAAGAGAGAAATAAATGAATAAGAGATGTACCAGAAAGGCACCTGAATTTGGTTGCACGATATTATTACATGCTTCGCACTGCTTTTTGCGGTTATTCAAAAGGAAACTAAAGGAATTTTCCAGTTGTTTCAAGCCAAAGGGTAGTGAAAAAAAATTGAACTGTATGAAGAAGACCTGATATTACGTAGGAACCAGAGGAAAATTAAAGGCTTTTCAAAGATCAAAAGATTTGTTTTTCACTTTCATGCAGAATATCGAAACGAATAGAAATTGTAAAAGAACGCCGTGCTGTTCGCTCATGTAATAAAGGACCAGGCACATAACAGAGCGGACTCTCTCCGTTATTTATTCCCCAATCACACACTAGACTCCTAGATCTCCCTCTAACCAAAGCGCTGGATAAACTCGAAAAACTATTCTCTTTTCCAACACTTCGGCAGGTTCCTTTCAACCAGATAATCGGGGGTCGTCCCCGCCCCCCACCGATTGTCCTTGGCCAAATCTCTGGAATTCAGGAAAATAGCGTCGTAGCACTTTCTTCCCACCCCTCCCTCCTCCAGGACTTCGTCCTCTAAGGATCTTACTCCAGAGCATCCCCTTATCCATCACTTTCACCCGATTCCCCTCGCCCGGGAGTTTTTCTTTTTCTCCCCCTCATTCCATAGGGCTCAGCCTCAAGCCATCCTAACCATTTTTTTCTCTTACACTTCGAAACTAGGAGTCACCCTCCTTACCCCTAAAACGATCTAAGCAACAGTATAGAGTTTTTTAAACCCCCATCCCAGTTTTTCCCTCCTCTAGTGTGAAGCCCACTCCCCCGAAGTCCAGATTGCCGCCTAGCGTGTCCCTCAGCGCCCCCAAGGCACTAGGTCGCCAGCCTCTGCAGCGCTCACCGACAAAGCGCGGCGCCTCTGGGGGTCCCTGACAATGAAGGAGACCACCGCGAGTACCCCCGTAACAACGGGCAGGGGCGGCGGCCTGGCCACCGCCATCCTTCTTGTCTTCTCCCGCCAGACAGAGAATGGGGCCCCTTAGCTCCAGCGGGGAACTCACCAGCCTGGCCCGATGGGCGGGCGACGGGAGGACAGCGCCCACGAGGGAAGACGAGGAAGGCGGGCGTCGGTTCTTCGGCACAGCCGAAGAGCGGGGTTCTGTCGCCGGGGGTTGTTTCCTTTCATTCGAGGAGAGATGGGCTCGCCGAGCGCCCTTACGTTACCTCCCTCCTCACGCACACGACCCACAGGACGTTAAGACGTCTCGAGCGCGCCTGGGACTCTGATTGGCCACCGAGCCGGGGCGGTTGAAGCCGCCGAAGAACAGCGCAAGCGCGCAGACCAGCCCCCCCCCCCCCCCCAAAGGCTTGGGCGGCGGCCCCGCCTCCTGCTCGCGCGCGTACTTACTATTCTCCGTTCTGCCGCTCGGCTGAGGCTTTGGGGGCAGGATCAGTGGAGACTGAGAAAGGAATTTGAAGAGAAAGCTGGGCACTGGGAGGAGAAGGCGCTGGGTTGGGGCCAGAAACCCTGGGACCAGGTCTTGGGGAACCGGTTTTCCAGTGACTCAAATGCACAGGCCTTAGCCCTTGCACTTGTTCTTCGAGGCCTTTTTACATCCATTATTTCATTGTACTCTCCTGGCATCCCTGTGGGGTCCTCCTTTTGCCTGATTTCACTGCTAGCAAAGACAGAGCTTCCAGTGTAATTTTCCCGTTCGTACGGCAATCCTCGGGCCAATCGTTTTAATTCCTCAACCTTAATTTTTTTGTTTGCTTGTTTCTTGGTCTTGGAAATGAAGATAAAATAACCTCCCAAGTTTATTGCGAGGAAGAATAAGGATGCGGCTGAAGCATGTATTACCGTCTCCCGTGTATAGCCGGCTGGGGTTGTCGTAGTCAAAAAAGACGAGTGATTAAGACGAGTGATTTTCTTTATAACCCACAAAGATGAACCAAAGACCTAAACCGGCGCTCTTTTTTGGCATATTGGAGCCATAGTCTTGACTGAATCTCAGTGCCCTCACTTCTAGCTCCATGACCTTGGTCACGTTGTAGTACCTCTGGTTCCTCAGACTTGTCAGTTCTAAAATGGAGAACATAACGGTATCCTTCTCAAAAGAGTGTGAGAAATGAGTTAATTTATGCAAAGCACAGGAGAAGAATGCCTGGGGACATAGTATACCTTCTATGAGGGTCTACTTTTGTTATCCTCTGGCCTCTGTGAGAGGAAAACCATTTTTAAAAAAGAAAGAACAGGAAAAAAAAGTCACAAACCAGTGAGCCTTTAAAGATGTCTTTCACTTGACTGTTGTTCTTGCAATGGAAGTGGATTTATATTCTGGATCCAATGCTTTTTACATAGTGTTTCATCAACCTTTCATCAGATCGTTCTCTGATCTCCGTGTGGGAGAACATGCCTAGCCAATGTGGGCACACACACTCAGTGAATTGTAAAAGAGTTAGTTTTGGAGTTGCCGAAATGGATCATTTTTTTCCTCTTCTATATACAAGTCACTGAGTGTCCCCAGCTTTTCTGGGCAGTGAAATGAAGAGACAACAGCACTTCTTACTCCCTAAAGCGCCTTTTTACAAATGACTTGCACCTGTTAACACCTGGATGTCTTCAAGATTCAGTTGTGAGTCCCTGGAGCCATCCCTGACCCCTTGACTAGGTGAGGCTTCCTTCCAGTTTGGTCCCACCCCAGATCTCTATCTTACAATTGTCCTTGTTTTACTGAACTTACCTCTGCTTCCTTCTGCACTAGACAGTAGGTTGAGAAAAGAAATCATATCCTATTGCTTTTCATATCCCAAGATCCTAGCACACGTCTGGCCTGATAAATGTCTAATGTTCTCAAATAAATATGTGACAGCCATTGTGTTTGGAAAGCTTTCTCCCATTCTAAGACTGCTGCCTGGTACTCTGGGCTTTGGGTCTTCTACCTCCCTGTGGTACTTACAGTCACGCAAGGCAATTAAGCACTTAATTGTATACAGTAAGCACACTGCATGTTATTTTCTAATTGCTTCATATGTTAACCCACCACTTATATTGTCTTCCTTCAGGCCCTAAGAGAAGAAATTAAATATAAATGGCAAGTCGATGGTCCAGATGTAAGGGACACCCAGCTGTCAATCAACTCTGCCTACTGACTGAATCCCCAGGGCCCTGTGAAAGCTACTGTTAGTCAGCAGAAGCAAATGCTGCTCCATAGCTATTTCCTCTGAACTGAAGCCTCCATCCTGAAGGGGAAAAAGGAAGCTCAGGAGACTCGAGCTCCAAGAAAACTTACTAGGCAGGAGAAGGTCAAAAAGGTAGGGCAGAGACCACACTTAGACAGTTGGTTCTGGGGAAAGGAGACTTCTCAAATTGGGCAGGGACTTCCAGAAATATAACTTTTGTGAGCTATCATCAGCCATGCTGGGATGGACTTCTCAGTGATGCAGTTGCCTGAGTCATCCGTGTTCCTGCACGGTTCTGTAAAACTCCTTAGTTCAACAAGCTTCACCTGAGTGGAATCCTTTTGTTCTTGCTCCTGAGGGGGTCTCCTGAGCTTCCTTAATGTTTTACTTGAAGCAAAGCAAAACAAAACAAAAAAAACACAAAAAAGCCCACTTGTTCTCTTTAGCATCATGGCATTACCTTAACATCCAGGAGACACTACTGTAGTCAGTGATAAAGCTGTTATGTTAAAGTCTGTTTTGTGAGTTTTTGGAGTTTGGGGCTGTGAATGTCCCTAAATTCTTCATTGTTTCTTACCACTTGGGCTTTTGACGGTCCTTGTACCTCTGGCTCTATGTTTAGTGATGGTCCCTGTAATAACAGCTGAGTGGTTAACTGAAAATTTAAGCATGACATTGGAGATAGAGAGAAGTTGGTAAAGCAGATAGGAGAAAGAGAAGAGGGAGAGTATTTGGAGTTTTGGGCACAGGAGAGTTGAGTACGGTGATGAGACTTATTTTTCTGGAACTGGAGAAAGAGTGGCTGATCTTGGTGCCCTCTGGAATACAAGGGAGTATCTTGAGCTGGAAGAATAAAAGGTTTAAGGTGGGACAGGTGAATCCAATGAGTAAATCTCTTCTAACTGTTGTGTTTCCAAGTCTTTATACTTTGTGATTTCAAGTCCTAACTCAGCGTTCAGTTTACAGTGACATCCTTTCATTTGTGTGAATGAATAGCAGTGATGGTGGAATCTTAGGCTGTCCTCTCTCTTCCTTAGTAATGGCCTGCAGCCATCATATTATATAACATCTGCTGAAACTGGTGGCACATTTGTGTATCTCTCCAGCCACTGCCTCTCAAGCCATCATTCTCTTTTCTGAATTTTAGGACCATGCATCTAATTCCACATTTGGATTTTTTTTTTCAACTGCCTGTTTGAAACTTTTGCTTCAACCACCCCAAAGGCATCTCAATCTCAATATGCCTGAAAGTTGATGAAAGTGGTACTGCTCCATGATTTCCTTCCTGATTGGGACCTCAATCCACCCACGTCTGCAAGTTCAAGACCGCAGAGCCTTCTTGAGATCTCTACTCTATCATTCAACAAGGCAAGGTTTCTTTCTAAGCAGCACTGCAGAAGGCCACTTCCCAAGCTTAGGAACATCTCTATCGTCTCTAATGTGGGGGACTCCCCTAACTCGCTGTTAGTGAATAAACAAAGTAGGCTCCTTCAGGGATGTGTGCCTGTACTAATGCAACTTCGGAATATCCTTTTCTTTGTTTTCAGCTTAAAATTTATGTGAAAACTGGGCATGTACAAGAACATGCATACTCTCCCCAAAGTGCCTCTCTGATATGAACATGTGTAGGCCTCCCTCAAAATTCCTTACCCTTCCTGTGTCCTGGAAGAGCAACTCCTTAGCCAAGATTCCCCTGACCTCCTTGCACTTTTTTGTCTTGGCTGCGCTTGATTTAGCTCTGGGAATCCACCGTGTTCAGTGACATTGCTAATGAGCCTCTTGAAATGTCAACCTCTCAACCAGCCGTATTGTCATGAAGTTTACATTTTAGTGAGGCAGAGAGAGAATACAGCTAATAAAAACATATGAGAGGCTGGCTTCTGCCATGTAGCATTAGTGAAGTTAACTGTCATCTCCAAGTGCAGCTACAAAGCTGTGCCAGACAGACAGTGTTAATGCAGGAAGCACCTTTTGGGGCTCTGGGAGCCTCATCGCTCTGGGAGTCACCAAAGTTCTAAGAGCAGGATCAGTCAGCATGATTTTCTTAGTACTTGTTGTACTGGAAAATGTCTCCCATTGGCTTGTGTAATTGAGAGCTTGGTCCCTTTCTGGTAGCAGTGTTTGGGAGGGGAGGTACAGACTCTTAGGAAGTACTGCCCTGCTGGAAGAAGAATGTCTCTGGGGGTGGCCTTTGAAAGTTCTGAGCTTCCACCCACTTCCAGTTTGCTCTCTCTGCTCCAAACTTGCCTTGGGAAGATGCCAGCTCTCAGCTTCCTGATCCTGCCATTCCTGCTACCACATTTCCCTGCCACAGCGGACTCTTACCCCTCTGTAAAACTTTCTTCCGTAAGACACCATTGGTCATGGTGTTTTATCACAGCAACAAAAGGTAACTAGTACAGCGCTGGTCCACTTTCAGTTTTACAAGTCCATGTCCCGAGAAACCCTTGCTTAGGTACAAAAATTCTCAGTTTTCAGAAAGTGTTGGTTGAATTGTAAAGAAAAGGTAGCATATCCATGTCATGGCCACCTACACAGAACCTGAAATCAATTGAGCACAAGAGACATGATTTAGGTGGTCCAGACTGAGTTGTTGTTTGTTGACCTTGACTACTAATGCTGGCATTCAGGGTTTGTTGAGTGTGATAATAAGGTATCCTTGGTTGCATCCCACCCAGAGTTGCAACTTAAGTGTTCAGTTAAAGTATCTCTCAATCACGAACTTAACTCTCTGGCTTTGACTTTGCCTGTGAATGAACTACTGTGCTTTGTGTAGAGATGGTGCTGTTTGTTGTGCTCGAAAGTGAACCCAGGACTGTATACATATTAGGCAAGGACTCTACCACTGAAACTACATGCTGCTGTGGATTATCGGCTAAAGCTGTGTTATATTCATTAATGTTGTGGAACATTTGCTTAAAGATGCAAAGATATGTTGCATTCTCGTGTGTTGCTTTGGTTTGACTCTGTGAAGTTGTGTTACTTTGCCTATCTAAAACTCCTGATTAGAGCTGAATGGCCAGTTGCAAGGCAGGG